AAGTTGATGCAAGCAAGCTCTCAGTTCCGAGACCTATCCTGGTCCATCATGTCGAACTGACTGTTTATATATGAAGAATTCCGCTCCCGACTTAAGTTGCACCTGTAAGTTCGATACGACACTTCCTCACATACCGTGAATCAACCGTGAACGTATGATTTAACTCACTCACTCTCCATCCATCCATACATCGCGTCCGTTGATGATCTTAATAGTCTTGACCAACCAATGGCCCGACCCCGAGCTCCGACCCCGAAATATCTGAGGGCCGAGATCATCACGGTCGCGAAATTCAACCTAACCTCCCGGATCTCAGCACTGCATAGAATTCAGTTCAGTTTCCTATTCTTACCATGTGCTGAACATCCAGTGCACTGCTCGATGGTTCCGGACTCGCTGAAGCCGATGGTGACGTCGGTGCTTGGCGCAGTGCACTGAGGGTGATGGGAAGAAACAGATAAGATTGGGTTGCTTGACCGTGTTTTGACCAGATCTCCCAGATCTCACCAAGATCTCCACCAGATCTCCACCGCCGCGCGAATTCTTTTTAAGGATGACTTCCGTCCGTCCAGTCGCCGAGTCAAATCCCCCTCTCCTCCTCGTTTCTCGTCCTTTCTCCAGTCGTTTGCTTTGCATCCGACAGCTTGCGCTTTACCGCCCTGGAATAAAGTGCCCGAGTCCTTCGCACAGCAGAAGCAGTCGAAATGATCCATATCGCCACCCTCGTCGCCTCCCCATCCCACAGCTGGGCTACTCAGCCATCCCACCACGCACAACCGCTGCTTCCTAGTAGTGTGTGGAATATGCCCGCTTCTACCAATGCGCAGACGGCGCGGAAGGAAAAGCCTCGTCTCCGCCTCGCACTCGAGGTCACCGCATTGTGCGCGGACAAAGCCCAGCAGCCCTTTGCGAGCACCTCCCAGCTGTCCCAGCCGTCGCTTGTACCGACGCAAAATACACCCCCAGGCCCAACCCGGGGCCGCCGCCGCTCCCCGTCGTTCACCGCACCTCCCAACACACCCCGATCGGCGTGCTCGTCCCCGATTTCCTTTACCTCCGCCTGGTCGAGCCCAAGCTCGTCTACATCCACATACACACCGTCGCCCGCGCCTTCACTGTCGCGGCCCGCGCCGTCCTCCAACTATGCGTCGCCTGCACCTCCCGCAGTCCCGCTCGCACCCACACCCTTCCATGCACGGCACTACCCCACATCCGACGCCCGTGCGCGCCTCCTCGCGCGCACCCTCCTCAACCGTATTCACGCCGTCGGGCGACCCCGTTCGCTCTGCTCCTCCAGCTCAAAATCTTCGGCGAAGGGTAGCATGTGCGATGGGTACACCCCGAGCCGGCTGAGCGAGTGCGTCGTCGCCTGACAGCCATTCTTTCCCGCCTCGCCCCTGGTCGTCGCCCTCCTTTTATTACGCCATCCATGTACCGAGTTTCTCTCGTACACCCACACTCCTTTACTTTTTACTTTTGAATTGTACGCCCACCCTCCTTCGAATCCGATTGCTCTATCTTTTTTTTTCTTTCTACTGGTGTACCATGTACCGCGGTGTATTTACTACGAGAAAATCTGGGTTCCCTCCATCTTCTGCCCTTCCTCGGAGGCTCCTCCTCCGTGTTCCTCCACCCTCCGCCGACGGATCCACTATGCGCTAATCTCTCGTCTTCTTCTTCCCCCGTGATCCGTCGCCGGTTGCGACGATCACGACGCACCTTATGGGTGCAAAAGATTGGCGCGAATCGCATCAATCGCCTCCTATCGCATCAACCTTCGAGGCCCGCTCCGTCAGCGCGCTGACGCGCAGCTAGTGCTCCGTTAGGAAGTCCAGTACCTGACTTGCGTTTTCCCTGCCAGTGTTTTCCCCCTTCTTCCCCTTCCTTCCGTCCTGCTCCGTCCTGCTCCATATCTCTCCGCACTATTCAGAACTCTGAACGGCCCTCAATTGGGAGCAATTGGGTTGGTCTGTGTTCTAACTAGGACTTACGTGTGGGTCTTCGGGCTTTGAAAATGGCGCCATTCAGGCCTCGGGAGTCGCAACGCAGAGTGTAAACCCGGATCAGCCTCCAGCGATACACATCACCTTCAAGCGATATCCCTCGATATCCTCTTCGAGCGCGGACGAGGGAAAATCAGAGAAGATCTGCCCCGTCGGGACTCGGGTGAGTCGCGTGGAACGAAAGGCTGAAACGTGCTGAAACCCATTTTGTCGCGCTAGCCTCAGATCTAAAACTGGTTGAAACGTTTTACGTTTAAACGCGCCGAATTCACTTTTTGAAACAGGTTGCGAAAACGGCTCCGAGCGTTTGGAGGATGGATGTTCTGAGATGTTGGGATGTTGGGATGTTAGACAAGGTACGCTTGGCTTCAACTCAGAGTCTTTTCAGATACTTATGTACTTGCTTCAACTCGGATGCTTCGCAGCTCGGGGCGGAACGTTCAAGCATCCAATGGTCGAATTTTCTAGCTATCGGAAGGCGCCAAGGACCTTTGGTTCAACTTCGAAGTTCGGAATTTTGTTTATCGGCGTTCGATTTTTGGTCCTTGGAGCTAATCTTGTAAGCTTGTTTCCATGATTAGGGACTGATACTGGCAGAGCTTCTGTCGAAGCGAATCGAGTCCCCGACCCTCTGAATCTGGGGCTCCTCCAGTGACGTTGAACTCAACTCCTGATTCAGATCAAGCCCGTCTGTGCGTTCCTTGGCTGGTTCACGCTCATCAAGTATTGCCGTCGGAGTTTTGGATTCTGTGGTGACCTCGAGGCTCTCTGGGCAAGGATTCCGACGCAACCTAATAACTTAGGAGCGTTCGAACGACTCTTACTTACTGTACACTGGTACTCTAACAACTCTTGCTACGATGGTCGAGCACTATCAACGACACTATCCACTATCTCTCTACAACCCATGCGTCGGGTGGTATAATATTCGCGTCTGCAGGCTTGAAGCCCGATAGCTGGGTCTGGACACTGGACTCGCAGAGGTTTAGACCACCGACGCCGCGATTTATCACAAGTTGACCCGAGACGTGCCGACAGCTAAATGCTCGAAATGCGACGTAAATTCAACGCTACCGCGGCCCGAATTTCAACCCATACTTGGCACGCAAAATTTTAGTCGGTGACGTCTACTCGAGTATTGGGTCTTCCTCATTCAAACCCCAATCTACCGCCCCGAGATGTATTCCCCCTGGAGTCCGTATCAAAGCCGATCAAACACGGAGCTGGTTTGCTGCAAAGATTCGACTGCCTTTCCGCTAGATGCGCGCATCAGGGACAGCAGAACCAACTTTACGTGAGGGGTCGTCGAAATTCAACCTCAAGTATCTGAAATTCTACCTGAAATTCACGCTAACGCGTACCTGGTACGCGGATTTCAATTCGGGACGTCTCTTGTCAAGCCTTTGGTCTTCCTACTTAAAATACCAAGTCTAGAGATTTAAGGCCTGATGCAAAGGTTCGAGTGGCGATCCCAATTCGAATTCAACTCAGGAACTCTTGGTCGGTATTTACTTCCGCCTTATATCGCATTTCATCCGCGATCGACTCTGACAGCAATTAATCGTAGAATAATACAATTCAAATTCTTTCGATAGGTGCACACGATCATTTCAGGTTGGGTTTGTTTCAACTTTGGATCCTCGAAACTCGTTTTCTTGCCAATACGTTGTCTTATCTTGTCGTTTATCATGATCAATGGTGACTGCGGAAATTCATAAGTCCGTTGTGGCGCTCGTTTGCTTCGTGAATAACTTCAACCTCCCAATTTGTTGCAAGACTGCAACCTCCTAGCTGTAAACCTCTGATGATGCCCGATGATGACCATTTGAGATTCCGAACGTGATCATCGATTTTTATCATGTTCAATTCCAGGTGACAGAAGAAGGCGTTTGGGTATATGATACCCTAATTGCCGAACGAGGCATGATACAAAGCTGACAGATGCGTACCAGGCTCGACGCCACTAATGAAGGTAGGGCTGACGGCAAGGCTAGGGCGGCTTTGTTCCACCTGATCGAATTAGATGAGCTCTTTTGAAGCCGGCACTGACCAAAATGAAAGCTGAATGTGAGAAGAGGGAGAAAAGGAGTGAGTAAGAAGTGCATTCGAACCCGGGGAGTCGAACCCCGCCTTCCTGCAGCATCTCAGAGAACGGCAGCGAATGATTTGGAGGTATGCGCCACACACCAGGCTCGAATCTTTTCCTATCTGAGAACTGGGTTGAGGCTGTCTGTTTTGTTTTCGACAGAACATCCTACTTCTTTTGCGGTAGGAACCAAGGTGACAAAAATACAAGCCATCTGTGATCCTGCTGCTATGCACAGTGATTGCAGGGAAAAACGAGCGCGCAATCGAGATATTCGAACGGAGGGAACCGAACCCTCCTCCTCCGGAAGCATTTCTTTAATTTGCAACCGTCAAAGGTGCGCATACGCCAGGCTCGATTAATTCTCTCCAAGGAAACCTCATTAATAATGCCATCTGGACGAGTACATCTGGACTTGTATACGGCACACAGGTAAACAAATAATACTTCATATTTCACTGATGCAGAGTGTCCAGGCAAAAAAAGGTCTTGACACCTGGGCCAGCTCATTTGCACCCGGGGACTCGAACCCAGTCCCCCCTGGACTACAAAGCACATCTCATTATCTGGAGGTATGTACCATGCACCAGATTCGACTTAGTTTCTTTATGTGAACCTTGATTGGGCTGCCCAAATTTCCTCTGCGTGCCACCTTTTGAATCCTGGAATAATCACAACACTGTTACACCTCTCTCGGTGTGTTTTGCAAATTTGTGTACTTAGGTTCGGAACTTGCTTGCATCTCGACAAAAAAGCAACACAATACCTCTGCGATGGTTAGACATAGACCTGAATTTTTGTTTCCAAAACCTCCGTAACTTACTATAAAGAAAGAAGAAAAACAAGAAAAGTCACAGACTTTGCTATATCTAGACGGTATCCATAATAGGGCTGTGACACAAGATCTCATCGGCTGGATGGCCGAGCGGTCTAAGGCGCCAGAATCAGGTCATTCACAGTTGTGCTGATACTATATCTGGTCCTCCGGGGCGTGGGTTCGAATCCCACTCCAGTCATCATTTTGGACTTTTTTCTACCTCAGGTCATTCGCCCTATGCCTCCTCAATGTCTCACCACGGTATGTCAATACAGGTGCAGCTCCGAACCGACTCTCTGAGTGTACCAAAATTCCGATGCAGATGCAGATTCAGACTGGCACCTTAGGATCTCATGCAGGTGTCAGTGCTGTAAACATTCAAACCCTTAACTCTTACAGCTGTTTCCGAAAAGATTGAGACAACAGTTTTTTTTTCTCATTGCGTATTTTTTGCCGGAATGCTAAGGATTACTGCTTTTGCCTCGGATCACCCACCGTTTTGGGATCAGCCAGTCCAGGCCGTCATCCCACTTGGTTACATTGTTTTTGTGCAAGGCATAAATCGGTGTGGTTTTTGTTCCAGGCATTCTGTCCGCGACATAGAAGGCAAACTGCAAGCCTTAGGACAAAATTTGTGCAGGTCCAGATATTTGGTACAATATTTGAGTGGAATTGGATTTGGGCTTGGCAAGACCAAAACCGGTAATCCTTAGCATTCCATCAAGAATTGATCAAAAATTGCGAACGCAAAAAAAAAAATTGTCATCTCAATCTTTTCGGAAACAGCTGTAAATCCTGTCAACAACTTTCTCTTCCAATGTTGTTCAAGTTTGTGGCCACCCTTCCCTGCTACTTAAACTCCTCACCTGGAACACTAGACTTATCACTCGGGAACTTGGGGACTCAAACACTGTCTCCTTCCAGAAATGATGCAAATGATTGTGACACACCGTCCCGGTAAATCCCTCAACTGCAGAGTGCACGGAAACCTTAGGAACTGCGTAAACTCCGTGAACTGCTGACCAAGCTACTGACTCGTCCGCCTACTATGGCCACTGAGATCAAGCCATTGTTGGCAGCACGGTGGTTGCGCTTGGGGGGTCCCCCGAGCCGGGGCATCTCAGGTTGGCACACTTCGCACACACAAAGAAACACTGTTGTCTATTCTATCCTGTGTAAACTTTCATTACAACAAGCATTATATATCGCCTGAGGTGTCTCTGTGTGGCCCTCCACCTAATCCCCATCGTAGTATCACTGGCAGGGCCTATATGACGCCGGGTTCACGGAGTTCACTGAACTCCGTGAACTCTACGTATGTTCTCCACCGTCCAGGAGTAGGAGTACATACACCAAGTTCAACTCATTTTTTCTGTATGTGAGCCTTGACTATCCAGGCACAATTACACAACACGATTTGCTGTGTATACTACCATAGTCATTCCACCAAGTTGAATAAATCACACACATACAAGGTAGCAATGTGATCAATGGGAATCAGGGAGATGCAGAGCAGAGAAATTTTGTGAGAGATGGCATCCAGCGACAAGCAAAAAAATAACATACCAGGGGAAAAAGGACAACAAAATGATATAGAATTAGAACCCGGAGAATCGAACCCATCTTCCTCCTGAACTTTGGCCATGGCATGAAGACAACAGTCATAGTTCGGAGGTGTGCACAGTAAGTACACCAGGTTTGAGTTTTTTTTTTCTCAAATTGGCAGCTCGGTTTTTTGCCCACTCAACTCAGATTGCACAAGTTCACAACTGCATTAGACCAAGGACTCGATATACGGCCTCTACTAGGACTCGATATACGGCTTCTACTAGTACTTCAACGTGCTGGCAGGTTCACCAAGTTCTTAATCTGATTGGAATTCAGGATTTTTATAGCTACATCGCTCGCCTTAGCAAATGTAGAGGTGTTCCTGTTGAAGCTACTTTTCGTGTCTGCCATATACATGGAATGTATCAAAACCTGCATGTCCAAGAAGAAAAATGACAGAACATGTCGTGTCAGACCTGGGGAATCGAATTCCGCACTTCTCCTGGATTGCAACACTCGCCGACGAAGAAAGAGGCGGAATTTAACTTTGGGAAGGAAGAGAATAATTCGAGCCGTGCACCTGTACCAGGTTCATTTTATTCTCAATGACTGAACCTGTCGATTAGTCTGTAGAATTTATGCAACTGTCAGCAACACAAGGACATAAGACCGTTTCTAGCGATAAATATTCCCGCCTGCCACCCTCAACTTCATATGGGAGTTGCACAAGGATGCGCTGAAGAAATCGAGAGACTCAGCAGACGCTCTAATCGAGCATCCCGAGTTATACCAGCCTGCCTAGCGGCAAGGTGCAAGCACCAAGATATGCCGCTGGCAGGCTGGTAACGAGACTAAGAACCTTTGAAGTTTATCTGCAATTGTTTGGTGTGCACCATAAGTACACCAGATTCGATTATTGTTCTCCGTGTGAACCGTGATCAGACTGCGTTCAGTATCTGGCCAAAATTCCACAACATTGGAATTCAGTGCCTGGTCTTTCTGAGTCTATTTCAAGTTGAATTGCTTTCATTAGAAGCAGCGATCTCAGCTCAACAGGGATTGGGTGCAACCGAGAGAAAGCCCGTGGTAGAAGGACATCTAAAAATGCTTGCAACATAGAAAACAATGGAAGCACGCCCTCATATTCGAACCGGGGAATCGAACCCCGTCTTGCACCAGACATAATTGGCAAATGACCCACTATTATTTGGATGTGTGCACCATACACCAAGTTCGAGTTATTCTCTCTATGTGAACCTGCACTAGGCTACCTCATTTCTGCAATGTTCATTGGCCCGAGCACGTTTCTACGAGCTCTTGTGATTGTGTGGTGGTCAACTTGTCCGGGGTCCCGACCACATTGACAGGAATTTAATACTGCTACTGTGTGATAGAGGCTAAAAAAGTGGATGATGAAAGGGCTTCTGGCTGGAGCTGATGGGAACCTGTACAGTCGACCACCACAAATATTCCTGATGCTATGCTACATGTCTTCCTTTTACATGCAAGGTGTTCTCGTATGTTGTCTCGTCGAGGGCGACCTGTCAGTGCCTGTTGACAAAAAGAAGAAAATGCGACCACATCATCCTTATTCGAACTGGGGAGTCGAACCCCGGCTTCCTCCTAGACCGATGAATTGTTCCAGGCCATAATTTTCAGAGGTGTGCACCGTGCACCAAGTTCGATTTATTCTCTCTACGTGAACCTGCATTAGCCTGCCCAATTTTTGAACTCCCATTGACGTAAGATCGTAAATACCTCGAATAATTGTGCCTAGCCTCCCCGAGTAAAGTTGTTGGGATCCGAAACAACGTATCCTTTTGAAAGGGTGGTCCCCAAAAGTATTGTTAATAAAAAGAGATTTCCCATCGTGTGAGTTCGAACTCAGGGAATCGAACCCTCCGGAAATTGTATAGAGCGCGCTTATGATTCGGAGGTGCGCACAGTACACCAAGTTCGAGTTTTTCTCTGTACATGTGCCTTGTTTAAAGTCTGCCTTTGGATGTACGGCCAAAATTCTACAACGCAACACCCGTATGCTGATTTTGTGGTTTCATTTGGATCTCACATTCCGCGTGAACCGCTGACACCATGCCTTTCTCTGACGCCCATGGTGATTTCAGAATTCTGAGAGATGAGAAAGACCAAGGAGAAATTTTCGGGAAGATGGCGCTCAGACAAGAACAGCATAAAAAATACCGAAGAAACGCTGGACAATCCGAACCTGGGGAATCGAACCCCTTCTCCTCCCGAATTACTTTGTACATAGCAGCCAGATAATGCGAAGGTGTGCACCGTGCACCAGATTCGAGTTATTCATCTGTTTCTTGACTTAGATTTCCCTTGACACCAAAATAAGTTCTTGATCCAACGGCGAGGGGACTTATTCCTGCTCAGTGTTTGATAATCAACCATGGTCCATCTTTGCCTCCTCGGACTCATGAAATCCTTCTTCCAAGCAAATTCGACTTTGTCCTGCCGAGTGGCGGGCCCCGGATTAAAGAACACGTATGAGGTTCTTTACTCGCAATTCAGTTTTCCCCCCTGCTTTTTCTGATTCAATAAATTGGTGCCTCGTGAGCTTGAGTTATCGAGCACCATTGAGTGCACCGGCCAACGCCAAGCCCCGATTTTAGCACATGTAGTATGTGACGATGCTTCCGACATTTCGTCGTATCCTTCATTCAAATATCCGGCCCGGAATAATGTGGGCGTATTGAACCGATACTGTACTATTAAGTTCAATTCGACAGTCACGGGTCACGAGGACCCTTGCCGGCGTCGAATTTTGGTCAATGTCACGGGTCACTAGGGCGCGGTGTCGAATTGGTCCACCGTGACACCGTCAGTGGGTCGCCTGGAAGTACTGTTTTTACGAAATTTCGTGTCGAAAAACATAGAATTTTGGCCACCGGTCACGGTCACCGCGCCCGGTTGTCGAATGTCGAATGTGGTTCAAAACATCATGGGTCACACCCCATTAGTCTCGTTACCAGCCTGCCAGCGGCATATCTTGGTGCTTGCACCTTGCCGCTAGGCAGGCTGGTACAACTCGGGACACTTCATTGGAGCGTCTGCTGAGTTTGAAATTAATAGCAGCACCGATCGCACAATGACATCACCGGTGCATCATCAACTAAATGCCATCAATTTCGGTTTCAACTTCAACGCGTTGTTCATCAAGCCGGCAGGGTCCAGCAAAAAATCTGAACCAGCAAAGTTGCTCAAATTTGGTATCCCATACGATGGTGGTGTTTGAGCTAATAATTCTGAAGCGAAACGCGACCACAGTGAGTGAGATCAAATATTTCAAACTCAGCAGACGCTCTGATTGTTTGTCCCGAGTTGTACCAGCCTGCCTAGCGGCAAGGTGCAAGCACCAAGATATGCCGCTGGCAGGCTGGTAACGAGACTAACACCCCATGTCGAATTGAACTTAATAGTACAGTATATTGAACTGTGATCCTCGCTGAATGGAGTGACACGGGGCGTTGCACTGGAAACATCCCCACCAGTCACTGGATCATGTTCTTGTCGCACTCTGCGACGCGCTAGCAGTTCAATGCATCGCCGAAATCTTGCTGCAATCTTGCTGCCGGTGGTGACGTCGGTGGCGGTGAGATAACAGACTGATAAGATTGCGTTGGAGTT